TGGGTAAAACATTTGCTAACATGGGAGTCAGCTTTGAGCGTAAAATAAAATCCATAAAATGTGTTAATGATAGCAAGTATGATCGTTTTGTTCCTGATTCATAACCTTTTTTTTTTAGCAGATTCAAACCAAACTTCTTGAAATTTTTTCAAATCAAAAAAAAGATGATATGAAGCTTGTTCAAGATCAGGACATAACATCTCCATCATTCTTCGAACTTGGTTCATTTCATTTATTGCGACTTTTCCTTCTTTTAAACCACCAGATGGACTTTTTAAATACAAACAAAACATTTCAAGAAAATTTGTAAAGTTGGGCTTTTCTGAAAAACTAATGGCATCTATAGTTGAAAATTCAAAAGTGCTTTCTTCATTGTCAGAAGTAACATTGGCAGGTGTAAAATGATCCTTGATTCCAAAACTAGGCAATTTCTCTGCTAATATAGGAAGTTTAACTATTAAACTTTCATCACATAATATTTTATTGCTTAAACATTCCCGATACTTTACAGGATCATTTTTAAGGTGATGTGGTGCTCTATATAAATGGTCTTGTATTCCATTTGTTTTAATTTTGCATATTGGGCATTTATAAGTTCGATAATTTCTTGATACAGTTTCTAGTTTATCTGATCTTTCTTTTCTTAATCCGAACATTCCCCTTGCTTTTTTTGCTTCCTCTTTAGATATATTATGCTTTTTAGAGCGCAAATGCCTAGGTAGATCAATGATCATTTCATTACAACCTTATTGAGTGCATTTTACCTTTTGTCTGCAACTTGACTGGTTTTGAGGAATTACTTTGGTTTTTTTATCTTCTTTCCATTGAGAAAAAAGCTATGAAATGTATATATATATATATATATATATATATATATATATATATATATATATATATATATATATATTTTATATATATATATATATATATATATATATATATATATATATATATATATATATATATATATATATATATATATATATATATATATATATATATATATATATATATATATATATATATATATATATATATATATATATATATATATATATATATATATATATATATATATATATATATAGACACACTAAGGGCTATCAAGATGAAACAAAAATTTTTTTTTTATTAAACAATAAAATTAATAATAATAATCTAACCTCTTATTTGCACCGTTTACAACCTGATCTTTCTTTTTCTGATAAAACAAAATAAAAAATTGTCAATAATTTTTCCTTATGTTCATTTGATATATATATATATATATATATATATATATATATATATATATATATATATATATATATATATATATATATATATATATATATATATATATATATATATATATATATAAATATATATATATACAGGGGCTATTATTCTAAGAAAAAAATATGGGCGGCGGTACCTTTCTGTCGCGGAAAAAGCGTACTATAGAGTACATAGTTATACATATTCCAAAAAATTTTGCTAACCTAAACCCTTACTGTTTTTTTGCAAAAAGAAGAAACTAAATAATAATAATATTAATAATAAAATATACTGCTGCTACAATCAAAATCCGCAGTCAATGTTACAGCACTTCCTTGTACCTGTTCCTATTCGTTAAATTTACTGATTCTTTTATAAACACACAAATATTTAATAAACAATAAGCATATCATAATTAAAAATTTTTTTTTCCTATTACTAAACTTTCTCAGAAAAATAAAACATAGTAAACACACATTTAAAGAATATTCATGGTTATCATTGCCACTATTATTCACTTCAGATGACTTCTGTAAAAAAAAAAGGATTACTTTTGAGGAATAATACTTTTGACTAATTTTTATCTATTCTTTATCTATTTTTTATCTAATCTTATCTATTCCACATAGAGTGATTTGCCACACCAATTTTTTATAATGTATTAAATAGAGTTTAATCAAAACTAATCAAACTTAAAATATTATATTTCATTAAATATTTATATTATTGGTTATTTAATAGAAATATATTTCCTTGAAAAACCAAACAAAGAATACTTACATTAACAGAACATTCTGGAGAGTAATCAGTGTAACTAATTGATTCCAGAGAGCAATTGGTAGTCTTTACTTCAAAAGATTTCTGCAAAAAAAAATAATCACTAAATAATAAGTTTATATATTAAAAAAACTTATTCTCAGAAAACTCATTAGTAAAACGAATAATTAACTATTCCAATAATTAAACACATATTCATTTAATTCAAGTTTGACTATACTTACATTTATTTCAAAATCATAATAATCAGAAGTATCCTAAAAAAAAACCATGGTGATAAAATCATTTTCATAGTTTAATTAAATATAAAATTAAAAAAAAAAAATAACTCACATCCCCAGAATCAATATCTTCAGATTTGAAAACAGAGAAATCTGTTTTATTAGTATTTATAACCTAAAAAAAATAAATATATATCTAAGTTAAATAAACAAAAAAAAAATTATTAAAATATTACACTTCTTATATATTTACCTCAAGCACTAGTTCTTCAACTACTTGTTTAACTATAAGGTCATCTTCCAAATCTATATCTACCTGAAAAACATTTTTCTAAATAAAAAATGTTAGGGAAAATGAATTACCAGGTTTTGCTTACATTCGAAACAAATGACATTCATGTAAAAAACAACCACAATATTCATTTAAAACAACCATGACGTTTGTTTAAAACACCAAGACAATCAATTAAAACAAAACATTCAAGGCATGCACAATCTCAACATTATGGAACTTATTTTAATTTGGATGGATGGATGCAAAATCTGGTAAGACATACACACATAAATATATATTTATTTAATTACTCCATACCATTTACTTACACATTTTTACATGGTCTTACCTTATCGGTAAAACAATCATAACATGATCAATACCTTTGTCATATTTATTTCAAACAGATGCTAAACCCACCAAAACAACTAATAAAACTATATGATTTTATAATTTAAATGCGGTAGTGGTAACCACATTTAAGCGCCTCCCTATTAGTGGTAACCACAATTAAGTGCCTCAAAGTGGTAACCACAATTAAGTGCCTCCTTGTCTGTAGTGGTCTTCTCGGCGGAGATAAATTAGCAAAAAATAATAAAAAATTGAGAATCATCTATGTCAGGAAAACTTGGGTGGCGGCACCCCTCTGTCTCAGAGAAATTAATCGGAAAATCAGCATTTTAAAATTTTTTTTTCAAAATTGTCTCATTAAAGTACTTTTTCTATGCACTTAAAAATAAAAAAATAAAATTTTGAATGTGTGTGTGTGTGTATATATATATATATATATATAATATATATATATATATATATATATATATATATATATATATATATATATATATATATATATATATATATAATTTATATATATGTATTTATATACATGAGAATTAACAAGAACACTTAAAACATACTTTATTAGATTTTTTCGTTTCAGATAGGTGCAACTCTAAAATAAAAGGTCAATTATATAATTATTACTTTTTTCATATTTATTATTTATTATTCTTTCATATTCATTATTCAATCAAACAAAAAATAAAATTATTTTCTAGACCTCTTTCATCTTTAATTTTATGCTAAATGAAAATATTTTACTTAATCATTAAATTTTCAAGAAAAAATGAAGATTTATTAAACTTGACTCATAAAAATTTAAGAACTGAATGAGCAAATGATTTATATCAAATAATGGATTACTGTGAGTGCACAATCAAGAAATATCATTATTTAGTCTAATTAAATTTTAAACTTATAATTCATAAATTTAATTTAACATTATAAATTTATTTCAACATTTGTTTAATTTTTTTTTTTAATATAAGTATCTTACCAGACCCACTATTTGATTCTGGTGAGCTGCAAATACGATCTTTATTCCTTTAAAATGGAACTGAGTATATAATAAATGATTGCAAAGAAAAACCACTATATACATTTTTAGTATTATTATAGTTTGCTTTACCTTTTAGAGATATAGGCACTTAGTATTACTTCAGCCTGAAAATAAACAAAAAATTTGATACATAAAAATATGTCAAAAAAATTTAGAAGAAAAAAATACTTATCTTGAAGAAAAAAAAAACAACATAAAAACCAAGTTTACTTTTATTCTTGAAATTTGCTTAACTTTTGCAAACAAGTATATAACTGTTTCAGGTATTAATACCTTAAAGACATAATCCTTATCCTAAAAAAATTGAAATATAGTTACCAGAGAAATAATAGGTTACTTTTAAAACTACATCAGCGCTCAAAATAGTTTTTCAAAGCTTGCCGATCAAATGTAATTTTTTCATAAAAACAGGTTATTTTCCCTTGATTTTTTCAAAATTTCCCTGAAAATAGCTGATCATTGATTGTTGATCGGCTGTTATTTCGAACGCTGCCGCATTGCATTTTATTTGTACAATACAATGTAATTAGATACAATACATTTTCAGAAAATTTTTAAGGTCATTTAAGGGCTGGAGGGGAAAAAATATGAACTAATTTAACTAACTCTTTTAGTTTTTACATATTTTTTGTTAAAATAGTGAGATTATAAAAAAAACTTAGTAAAACTAAAATTAATTTTTATTACAAACTGTTTTTTAAACCAAAATTATTATATCCGATTTCTATAAAATCACAAAAAAAGCCAATCCCAACTTAAGTATATATAATTTTTCATTGTTTAAAAGTGGTTTTAAAAAGTGGATTCAAGAGAATATGATAATTACCTTTAAATTATTAAATGCTACAACTAAAGCATTGAAAAGATTATGTGATTGATCTTAAGTTAACAAACTAATGAGATCAGAATCACGAAGATTTTCTAAATATTATTATAAGAAAAATAAAAGAAAGTAGTAAAATAAAAAATTTAATTAAATAAAATCTTTAGATAAAATCTTAAAAACTTAAACTTGATAAAATTGTTTAGTTAAATTGCTAAGTAAGTCTAAGTAAGTCTAACAAGTACATACTTTTATCGTTTCCACCACTTTTAAATAAGTTATGTCTGTAACTATATAACTAAAGAAAAGGATTACATTAATTTTTGAATTTTTATGGAACTCAAAAACCCAGTTCATTTAACAAAAAAAAAAAACAAAAAAAAAAAACTCACTTTGCCTGAATAAATTAACTTGAGCAACTGTGATGATGCAATTTCATTTAAATTAGGTTTAGTAAACATACTAAATGCTAAAAATAGTTAATTACATATTTAATTTACTAAAACAATAATTTTTTTAGAACCCGAACATACAGTGGATGAAGTATAACTTTTTTTTATGTAAAGTTTTAAATACAGCTTAACAAAACTTTAAAATTATCTACTTAATTGCAAAAATTATAAAGAAGATAAAATTACCTGATATAATAAACTCTTCATGATCATGAATATCACTAGAACTACCTTTAAAAATCATTGTGTAAAATTTTACATAATCATTAAAAATAAATGCAAATAACATTAAAGTAAAAAAATAAGTTAATACTTAAACATTGATGGCAAACAATTCGGTTTTCTCCAACTAAACTTTCTTGATAAAGTTCTCCAACACTTTTGTTGCACAAAACACAAGTCATTTTATAAGTGATTTCTCAAAAAATATATTAGCAAATTTTAATCTTATTTAGACTTTCAAGAACATTTATTTATTACTATATGTTTAAATTACTCTGATTCTAACTAGATTATATGCACCTTAAGTATTCAAGAAGTGTAGCCTTTAACTAACATGCACCTACATTAAAGGCTACAGACTGAGTCTGTAGCCTATAGTGCCAAGTATGTAACTAACTTGCACCTACAATATAGCCCAGTATGTAACTACCACTACAGTGTAGGTGAAAGTTTAGGAGAATTTTAGGAGAAGTTTACTATAGTACTATAGTTAGAGAAGTTTACTATAGTACTATAGTTAGGTGCAAGGTACTTGCACCAACGCTATAGTACAGTGTAGGTGCAAGTTTGTTACATACAATTTGGTTAAAACCAGAGTGATGTAAAATATTTAGACAATTCAAATTATAAAATCATTTTTTAATTGAAAATCAAAAAAATAGACATTTTAAAGTATAAAATCATATTTTAATTGTAAATTAAAAAGTAAAGATAGTTCTTGTTTTTATACAAATTATTATTTATAAATATCCTGGCATCATAGTGGCGATTAACAACAATATATTTTGTTGTCTATTTTTTATAATTGAATAAATTGACTAAATTATTAAAAACGAAAAAACACTCTGACACTAACCAGCTTACATTTCATATGCTGTATGTATTACATGTTGGTTTGTGAGTTTTTTACTATATTAAATTATAAGGTTTTGCCCATATTTTGGAAACAAAACTTTATAATTAAATATTAAAATTGAAACTAAACTACTGCAAACATGGCAAAACTATTTAATGTCTTTTAATTATATAATAAGCATCATTACTAAAACAAAAGAAAACAATGTTGAAGTATGAGTAAAAGTTTTTGCCAGTCATATTACTTAAATACACATAAAATAACACAAGAGAAAAAGTTAAACTTTTTTATTAATTCTTTATATTCACAAAGATAACGACTTTTAACACTATTCAAATAGTGTTAAAATTATAGATGGTATATTTTTAAACAGTAATAATATAGTTTAAAAGAGTTAAACAACAGATATGATATGATTGCATCAGCTATCTTCATATTTATTTCCTTTTTTATTTATGAATATATTCGTAAATAAAAAAAAAAGAAATAAATAAATTCATATTTAAAAATTACTGGCAAATAATAAACTTATGGCAAATAATGAAACTTTATGAAACTTAGAGACAAATAATGAAACTTGTTTCACATCTAAACTTTGTTTATAGAGTTCTTTAACACAACTATCTCTAGATTATATTTTTTCCTGAGTAAAAGAAGAAATTTTAGGAGTGTGTGATAATCTAAACTTTACTCTTTATGAAAAAATTTTTTTAATATTGTAAATCAAAAAGAATAAACTAAATAGACATACTTATAAAATAAAAATTATAACTTTTATGTCAACTTAAAAGTGACTAAAATTACTATGATTCTAACTAGTATAATTATAATATATTGTTATAAGCATATAGTATATTATTAATATTTATTTTTATAAGCTGGTTAAAAGCGTAATGTTTTAGGTGAAATTTTAAGTAGAAGTTGACTTACACCACATAGATTCTAGCTATCAGAGCATCTAAAATCAGGCTCTGATTCTAGATGCTCTGAAAGCTAAAATCTAAGTGATGCAAAACCACTGTAATTTAAATTGGTTTGAATAAACTTTTACTCAACTATTGAGTCAAAATCGATATACATCACTTTGATTCTAGCCAGCTCTTACATTTTAGATATATCAAAAATTAGTTTGTAAAGTTGGATAAACTTTAAAATTGATTGTACTTAAAAATATTAAGTTAAAAGTTATTAATTAAAAAGTTAAGTGCTTTTTTTGTTTTAACTTTGTAAACAAAAATTAAGGTAAAAGAATTTTACAATTTTGAACACACGTGTAATTGTATAGACTACTGAAATATATTAGATTTCCATTAAATTACTTCCTAAAAAAACAATTTTGTTATAATATATTTTATATATTTTACTTCACACGCCAAACAAATTTTCCTCTGGCCAACTAACTTCAAAAATTTTTTGTGCCGGCTGACGACGTAACCACTTAAAAAAATAATAAAAATTATACAAGTTACGAAACCGAACAAGGAGTTGCAATAGCGAACAAAAAAGTTGCAATAACGAACAAGAGATGCTTTACTGAACAAGCGCGTTGCGATACAGAACATTTTAGTTGCATTACCGCACATCCACATGATCATCATCATGATCATCATCATCATCATCATTATCATCATCATCATGATCATCATCATCATCATCATCATCATCATCATCATCATCATCATCATCATCATCAACATCATCATCATCTCATCATCATCATCATCATCATAGTCATCATGATGATCATTATCATCAACAGCATAAAAGCGGAAAGACAATGATAATAAAAATGATGTTGATGTTGTTAATCGTCATCATGATAATCATCATCATCATCTTTATTTTGGCACTATGTAAGGCACACTCTTCAAATTTTCTTACTTCTACCACAACCATTTTATACTGAAGCTGCTACCACTCTACATGTTAATACCTGAATTACTTTAACTTTTTCTAAAAAAAAAGGTTGTTTGATACAACGTTTTTTCTAATCTCTCTAAAATTATGCCTACTTTTTATATCTTGTTAGAGTTACACCACACATCCATCTGATCATTTTCTCTTTCAGAAAAAACTACACCATATAAATACTAAAGTTTAAACAACAATGAAAGCAAACAGATATGATTATATCCATTATATGTGTGCAAAAAGTGCATCTTGGAAGCTTATATTGCTTCTGGAATAAAAGTTTGGAAGCGTTTATAACTTCTCTTCAGTTTTAAATCAAGCCTCATTCTACTCTACATCTTTTAACATTAATTACATTTTTCGTCTTTTTTATAAGAACATCTATCTTAAGAAAAAATTGTCCTTTTTATTATTGCAATAAGCTAATGTATCAATAAGGTCTTGTCTGATGTAAATCTCTGTTATTCTCAGTTTACTAAACCTTCTATCTTACCATAGATGTTGATTCTAGAGACTTTTAGTTAGTTTTCAACAGTGGATGTGTTGAAAACTAACTAAAAGTTTTTTAGTCAGTTTTCACGTCAGACTTACTTTAGTTGTGGACTTACAACTAAAGTAAGTCTGACGTTTAATCTCTAATTTATGGGTCTCATCTTTTTACTTGACCCCAGAGTAAAACAGAGCTATTTACAAGGAAATCTTACATAGTTTGACTCTTGAATATAATGGCCATACTCTTCCTGACAGTAAAATATTTTTGCTAATTTTTAAATTAATCCATTGTTAAACATCGAAATTACTCTAGCTTCCAATACTAAAACTAATTCTCAATTAAACACTTCTACAATGTGTGCTTTAGACAAGATTTCCATCATAGTCTTAAAAAAGTGTTCTCCAGAACTATCTACAATTTTTGCTAAACTTTAAAAAAGTGCTAAATACGTGGTTCCAATTTTTCAAATCTCTAGAAAACACTTTGACCTCTCCAAGTATCTTATGATTCATTTTCACTTTGTTATTAGTTTCTTATAATTTTCTATGTAAAGGTTTTGAGGTAATTAAATTACTTCTTTCTAACTACAGTAGTGAAGTTATTCTTGAAGGCCTACCCTCTTTATTTCAAGTAACTTTAATGTTCTATATTTGTTCCTGTAATATTTTTTATCTACAATAACAATCATAATGAAATCTAAAGTGGCTACATTTGCTGATGACTCCAGTTTATACTCTTGTATTGACAATAAATCTTCACTTTTTAATTGCTTAGAACAAGCAGCAAATTTTAAATCTGATCTCTCTTCTGTAATAATCTGGATTTAAATTCTGGACTTAAAACCCACAATTTTTGTCAGAACAACAGAATTCATTTATTTACTACAAAAAAATAATGCAATATTGTTGGTATTCCTATATTGACAAATAAAAACCCTATAATTATCAGTGGCAGATTGAGGTTTAGTGTCGTGGGTAGGGGGAGCAAGTCAATGAATAGGGGCGACTGGGGTTGTCTTCAGTAATTTGATCTTACAATTTAATTATTTTTGTTTGTTTTAGGGGGCGCTTTTAGACCGTTCTAGGGGGGCGTAGGGGCAGCTCAACCCCCACGCCTTATACTAAATCCGCTACTGATAATTATTATCATATATTATATAATAATAATATATATAATAATAACAATAATAAATATATATATATATATATATATAT